GCGGCCCGCCATTTCCCAGCGTGCCCCGCGGCGAAGCGGGACGGACGCCATTTCCCAGCGTGCCCCGCGGCGCGGTGGCTGGGGGTGACGGCCGGCAGTGGGTGAGGCGAGCATGGGGCGATTCGCAGGGCTTGCTCCCGTCCCGGCTGCCACCGTTTTCCTCCTCCTGCTCCGCTGTGCAGCCGGAGCCCCCCTCGTAGAGGGAGGAGGGCCCAACGAGAGACCCATCGTTGGTAAGGGGCGGCGGGGGTGGCGGGTTGTTGGCTCCCGGCGGCCTCTCCCCGGCCCAGGGGGGTGCCTCGGACCCTGCTTTCGCGGTCCTGGGGGAGGGAACGGCTCCTGCAGCCGGCGTGGAGCCCTGCCCGGTTCTGCTCCGGAGCGTAGGTTCGGTTAAAGCTTTTGTAAATAGCCTTGCGTTATAGATACTTCGTTTAAAAGGCTTAGAAGTAACGATCGCTTACTTAAGAGAGTTGGTAGTGCTAAATAGTTAAGGCAGGGAAGTGAGTCTTAGTCAGATAATGGTGTTTATTTGGTACCTTATGACTAGGCATAGTAATTGGTGCCCCGTGGTGTCGGTGTTTGCAATGCTTTCGGGCAGTAAATGCCCACACTGTAACCTGCCTTACAGGAAACTGGACGTTAATTTTTATTTCAGTGCGTAGCATTTGCTGTTTATATAGTGCTAATTTTCTTTCTCGGACCCTTCAGGGATATTGTCACAGGAATGTCACTTCAAGAAGTTCCACAGATTTGGAAGTTCTTATATTGCAGCTTCATATGTGAAGTTTTTGGAGTCTGCTGGTGCCCGAGTTGTGCCAATAAGGTAGATTTTTACATCCTTACAAGTGGCTAATAGTTGTTTAGTGTAAGGGTATCACCTTGGAGGCACAGAAAGCAGCTGTGCTGCTTTTCTGAGTGTTTAGAGCTCCTCAAAGACTGTTTGAAGGTGCCACAATTTGCAGTGTGTTTTAGAAAGCTGAATAAAAGCAGATTGGAACATGTAATTTTTTAGTATTTCTTATGATAATCTTTCTTTGAAAAATACTATTTTTTTACCTGTAAAATTACCCTCCATGGTTTTCATCTGTGGTTTTTGAAGTTGGCTTTTTTTCAGTCTATTGTGTAGTGCCCCACAAACGCACATAGGTGTCTAGATACATGTACACATACTCTCTTTTCTCACATTCTGTAGCCCTAGGATTCAAGTAATGGAGGAAGGCTCTCAGTACTCCTGTAGAAACCAAAGTCGAGTTCTGCTCAAGCTATGGGTCACTGACTCCATGTGGTGTATTTTGGTTGTTGAGCAAGAAGTAGCAGAGTAATAACAGACCTGATAAGACTTTGTTGCCAACAGTTAGCTATAAAATAGTAAATGCACTGGAATCGGATGTTAAAATGATAATTGTTAGAACTTAAAAACCATACTAATGTGGTGCAGAAAATCCCGGTAGGATGTGTCCATGCAGCACAATAAGGGCACCAGCTCAGTGCCTGGGTTAGAAGCCAGTGTTCCTCATGTAGCTGGAGCTTTCAGAATGTTTGCTGAGCAGAAGCTTCATCGATGAATGCAGGCTTCTAATTCTGGCAACTAAGTGAGATACAGCAAAGCTGGGCGCTTCTGAGTGCACCAGTGTATCAGCTCTGCGTGAGTGCAGCCATCGTGCTGGTTTGCTGATGTTTTGCGGGTGCTGAGGTCTTTCTCATCTTCCCACCTCTCAACTCTGTCTTTGCAGAAGGGTGGGTGTGACCCACTGTTTGCGCCTCTGCCCTTCGTGGAGTCAGCTGCAAACCAGAGTTGCCGGTCTGCAGGAAATAATAACCATGCCAGTCGTGTAAACGTTAAATTAAACAAGTGTCTGCAAAGGGGTCTCGGAGCACCTAATCCTGAACTGCACCTGAAAGGGTTCTGTTAACAATCTTGTGGATTCTCAGTCTCTACCGAGCTGTTTCAAGTGAAATGTTTTGTTTGATTTGGGACGATTTTGTTCTGTTTAAAGGATGCTTTCTACATATTTTCTGTGTCCTGTGTTTCTGTTCAATAATGATGATAGTTTTGTGGTTAAATATGTGTATTTCGTATGTGTTTTGTAACTATTTTCCTGGTGTTTCAGGTTAAACCGTTCAGATGAAGAATATGATAAAATATTCCACTCTATCAATGGGTAAGTTTTGAGCACTGGCTTTCTGTTGAACGATGTGATAGTTCTGGTTTTGAGCTCTGTCATACTCTCGAGGACACTGTCCTGCTCCTCTCTTGAGAGGTTCTGCTGAGCACTGCAGACATGCAGATATGTTCTAAGGCAGAGAGCACTATTTCATCCGATGTCCGTCTGCTGCCTTTTCTTCTTGAGGAGCATATGCCAGATAATCGGCAGCAGTGCCAGGGCTTATCTTGGCGTTCTCCTGTGCTTGTCTGCAGGCACACAGAAGCGTTATAGTGGTTAATGGTTTTCCAAGTGAAATAGCCTGTTTCCTCTTTGTTATTTTTTTCCTCTTCCTCCTTTGAGCAATCAGCTTCATTCTGATATTTAATAGCACTTGCTGGGTGTTTGATCCCTGTTCCTACGCTTTCTTCCCTCTGCCAGCTCTTTCCGTATCTAGTCTGTCACAAAAGTTTTTAATTTCCAGTCTCCACCATTTTCTCTCTGGGTGCTTTCTCTCTTGCTACTTGAATGCCCTGTCTTGCCTGTCCTGATGCTGTGGCTTAGGTCTTCATTAGAGAAACATTCTGACTTTTCAGCTGTCCGCCCATGTAGTGTGGACCCCATTTTAAATGTGGGATGATGCGATCTAATTTAACACACTTTAATTGTGGACTAAGCGAAGTCAAAACCTTTTATGTTTGCCTTGTGCTAAAAGTGCACTTCAGAAGAGTTAAATCAGCTGATGCTACACTTCACAGGCTTGATTGTACATGAGCCCATAGCATGTGATCGGGCTACTTGTGGTTGTGAGATGAGCATCTTAAACCATGAATATCTTTGTCAAGCTTATGCAGGTACTAGAAGGTTGGCCAACAAGCGTAGCACTTGCGGCCGTAGACCGGTGGCTGTCTGGGAGAGCACTGTCCCCTTTCGCTCCGCGGCATGCCCTGTGCACTGGGACGTGGGTCTCCACAGTCTCGCGGTATAAGCAGGTATAAGGTAGTGATGCTTTCTCGCCTGTGGCTAATCGTGTTGGAGACAAAATTGATCATTTTGTCCCTTTCTGATGGCTGCCAGCCTCTCTTTGTTTGCCAGCAGGGTTTTCACTAACAGGGTCTCCCATTCTTTTTGCCTCACCGTCTGCCTCGATGCAGAAGGGGGTGTTAGGGAAGGAGATCCAGTTCCCTTTCTGGCTTTGCAGTCACTGGCAGGTGGGTTTGTGCTGTGTAGGTGAGGATGGCCTGTGTTTCCTCTTGTTGGCCTCTACTGTCAGCTTATGGCTGTGTGTAAATAACAAGGGAGGTCTCTGGAGGGAAGGACTTTCCATTTGATCTTTCAGGTTGTAAGAGCTTAGCTCCAGGATCTTTGCAGTTGGAAATTATTTATTATTAAATGCCACCTTCTGAGAATCATGAGATTTACTGTAGTGGAGCCAGGTTTTATGAATACAGCAATGTAGTCCTGAGAGCCTTTGAAATGCACAGTGAACATCATCAGCTCTAATCAGTTGGAGGTACTGGAATACAGGTAGCTGCATTTCAGTCTGCTGATGACACATGTCAGGCCATTATCATTGCTGCTTAATGCATTACTTCCTTTTTGCATTAGTGGAAATGACAATTGTTTTTCCTAATTAGTATTGTCCAGTTTTTGGGTTGAACAAAAGCAACAGGTGAAGTGAGTTCTCTGTAACTTGCAGGTAAGGATCCCCTTATTTGTCTGACTAGATCTCTGTAGCAATCTATAATCTGTCTTGTTTTGAAAATACCCTCAGCTGTATTCATATGCTGTATTGGCACTGGAGAGTAATCTGACTTATTTTTGTGTACACTGCTCTACTTTCTCGCCAAATTCTTGGTGGCTTTTGCACGATCCTGTGCATCGTTCACCTGAAAATAAACCTGGTCACAAGGGTTTAAACACACACTCATTCTGCAAATGCTTGGGATCATTTGAGATATTGGTTGTTCCTAGTGGCTTGTTGTATCTCACTGATGCAGGCTGCCATTTCCAGAGCACAGAAATGTAGAGGAAATCCTTCAGCCGTTTTGGTAAAAAAAAACAAAACAAAAACAAAAACCAAACCAAAAAACCCAACCAAAACCCAGCAAATGATAGACAAGGGGCAACGGGCACAAACTGGAACACGGGAGGTTCCCTCTGAACATGAGGAAAAACTCCTTTACCCTCAGGGTGGCAGAGCACTGGCACAGGCTGCCCAGGGAGGTGGTGGAGTCTCCTTCCCTGGAGACATTCAGAACCCACTTGGATGCCATCCTGTGCGACCTGCTGTAGGTGACCCTGCTCTAGCAGGGGGGTTGGACGAGATGATCCCCAGAGGTCCCTTCTGACCCCGACCAGTCTGTGATTCTGTGACGTGGCTCGAGTAACCCCAGTTGGGGTTCTGCTGCGGTGGGTCAGGGAGCGCTCACACGCAGTGCTGTCGCTCTGCGGGTGCTCTGCCAGTCACGGCCAGAAGAGGCTTCCTGGAGTTCATGTTGCTGTCGCTGATGGCACTGGGTTACTTGCCGTGTCAGCACGGGTACGTGTGAAATCTCTGCTAGACTGTGCAGAGTCTTTCTCTTTTGTGGGGTTTGGGTTTGGGGAGCTACACAGAGAACTGCTGTTGCTGATTTTCTTAATTATTTTGTTTTGGTGGTGGTGGGAAAAGATTGTGCACTATTTCTTTGGAATTATGTCTGAGATTGCTTTGTCCTAAGCTATATTAGATCCTGTGTGACCAAAGGTTATGGCCAAATGTACTTTATTTTTTTTCTTTTTCTTTTTAATAGGAACTTTTTGATCTGTGTTGTCTGCAATAAGAAGGTCTCTCTGCCAGGGCCACAGTTCTTTACTGAAGTTGAACAGGATGAATTAGGATTTGGGCCAGGATTTTAAAGTGGGAGGGAAAGCCAGCTAAGACTCAGGACAGGATTTGACAGAGTCATGGCACACAGCCCTTTTGTTTACCAGCTGAAATCTGTATGTTTTGTGTATTTTCTGTTTACTCTCCTCTTCCTCACGTTGCACTAGGCTTGGTCATTACTTTGTGACAGTAACCGTTTTTCAGTGGAAGAACGCTTAAGGTTTAGGGGATGATTCAACTGAAGGCTAAAACACCTAAACCTGGCTGTCTGTGTGTGCCCTAGCTGTCTAAACTCACATAATTAATGGAGTGCTAGTCAGTGGAGCCTGCGGGGCTCTCAGCCTACCCACCAGTTAGTGGTGTGCTCTAGAAAACCTGCTCCAGTCTCCACTGACTGTTCTGACTAGATCCCTGCTGTCCATAGTGGAAGCCGAGATGCCTATCTCTAGACTGCTGAAATGTAGGTGTCTTACCCTAGACCTGAATCCTACCCTTAAAACCACTGTCAGACCTTTCTCTGTGTACATTGTCCAGGTGTTAGTTTGATCACCATTGCTAATCAGATTCTTGGATGTTGCCTTTCAGGGTACTCTTTCCAGGAGGTGGTGTGGATCTTAAGACTTCAGAATATTCCAGGGTTGCTAAGATATTTTACCACAAGGCACTAGAGGTAATTACTAAGGAACGGTCTGTTCTTGTTACTGTCGCTGTTCAGAGATCAAAATGACAGGGAGGCTCGTATTTTCCTAGTGATAATAAGTATCTCATTGCTGGCTTCTGTATAAAAAAAATCACTTAATAGGTTAAGATTCCGAATTGTGGCACCTTCTCCTCTTGTATGTCATCGTGGTCTTAAACTCCCAAGGCCTTCAGGTGAGAACAGTGTTGTTTGTTCACCGTACCTAGGGCTTTGCGCCTGTGTGGCACTCGCAATAAAGGAACAATAATGCCTTTCGAAGGTGCAGGGTATCCATTGGCGTTAAATGTTGAACAAAGATGTATGTAAATGTAATCATTTGTACAAGTTACGGCTAGAGTTTAGACTTGGAAGGAATTCTAGAGACACTGTGAAATAAACCAGTTAATAATAGAGCGTTAAGACCTCCCTTCGCCTTTGTGTTACCGCCAGCAAAACACCTTTGTTCTTGCTTACCTGTAAGTGGACTGAGGTGTGCCTTTGGAGGTGCCCGCGAGGGATCTGCATCAGCACATTGCACTCTTTTACTTATTTCTTTGCATTGGTGACTGTAAATATGGCATATTTTTGAAGTAAACACTAGCTTAATTTATAAAACGAAAAAGGTGGGAAGAACGCTTCAAAGGTTATATTAATTATTTTTTAAGATTTATATGATCATTAACTTTATTAAGAAAAGACTGAATTTCCGGGAAAGCTATTTATTTCAAAGAACATCAGGAAGGCTCTGAATCCTCATGAAGATTTAATTCTTACAGAATAAGAGGTGGGTTTGTTCCAGATGGTAATCAACACATCTTGCAGTAAAATTTGCATTCTGGAAAGGCTTGGAGATCTTAAGGATCTTCTGCGTTCAAATTGAATAAAAATTAAATTAAATTTTCTTCCTTTTTTCCTCTTTACTGGCCTTATTTTATTTTCAGCTAACATCGATTACCATTGTCACAGAGGTCATGCTTTGGAAAGCTGTCCCACCTTTGGGGGCACCCAAAGCAGTGCTTAGGCTGGTCCCCTGGTGGACAGTTCACTGGCAGTGAGGGATTCCTCTGCTGCCCTTGCAGCAGGCAGGGAGGGCCCTGGCGCTCACAGGACCAGTCAGTCGTTCCCTTTGCTGCTCCTCAGTCCCCTGGCATATTCCTCTGTCTTTAGCCTTGGTGGTTGTTAGTCTGTCGCCTCGCAAAGACTATCTCCCTGCCACGCCAGACAGTTAAAACAGTTCATCTCGCTTGTCTCTTCAAAACTGCTCGCGGTGTGACCTGCAGCCTGCGTCTGGGTGTTCGGTGTGGGGGCAAGGGCTGCTCGTGGAAATTCTATTGACATTTCACAAGGACTAACTGAATTGCCTGTGTTGTAATTTTATGATCAGAGGGGCGTGTTCGTTAGATGGTATGTGCACTTCAGATGAGGGAAAGCCAGAAAATGATTTTTCCGTTGATCGTAGGTGACCCTTGCTAATAGGTTGGGTTTTTTCTGTGCTATTTGTGATCACTGTGTGTTTTGATTTTTTCATCTTTCAAGACTTAATTAGTGCTCTAAAATACTGGTAGGTTTACTAATGCGAAGTAAGCTACAATAGTCAAGAGTGTATTAGCAGGTGGAGAACTGACTGAGTTTTTTTGTGTTTTTTTTTTCTTAAATGTATTAGGGCTCCTTTTCTCTTCATTTTCAGGTGTTCACAGTGAGAAATGACTTGGTCTGGCTCTGCTTTAATAGCAGTAGAGGATGTGGAACGCTAATCCCCACCCAAGTCAATAGAATTTTACTGGCTAGGCAAAAACCTAAAAGAAATGCTGTTTTCCAGCTTTTAAATTAGTTTTTAAAATGTGATGTCGTGGGTATTTTTAGTATATGCTTAGCCTCCAGGCTAATGTTTATTAAAGGTGGGGGGTGGCAAAATGTTTATGGTTCAGTTTTAATGGTTTTTAAACTGTGGCTGGTTTTTTGCCTTCGGTGGTTTTATTCCTCTCTTAAAGGAAAGACAGACAGTGGCGTTGCAAGTCCTGTGTCTGGCCATGTGTGACAGGCGGTCATGAAGCCCCCCCAGTACTGTTAGCCTTCCTTCTGTAAATCTACTGTGGCTCGCTCTGAGAAGTAGTAGTTGTGTGGGCTTCTGTCACCGTATGATCAGCAGTGCAGTAGGGTGACACTTTTATTCTAAGCCTGTCATTTCAACTTTCTCAAGAACGGCTTTTGCTCTGCAGAGCGTGTGGTGTGGTATGCACAGCTTCACTTGTTTGTAAACATTTTTAAGAAAGACGACTGGATTTCACAAGAACAGGAGTTCCAAAACATGCCAGTCTCTGACATGCGCTTCCTATCAGGAACAAACGTTACAGAAATGCAGTTTTCCACTCTGTGTGTGCGCTGTGCCTAGCAAAGTGACAGGAAGCTAGTCGTGTTCTCTTTTTGCTTTCCTTTTCTTCTTTTTGTGTGCTTCTCTGGTTTTCACACTTACCTGCCAATTTTTATTCTTTTGGAAATGATTGTCATGCTTCTGTAGGGCTGAAACTCGCAGTTTATCTTTCTGGATCACAGGCCCAAACCCGCTGGTTAAACAAGCGTGTGAGTGTCAATTGAGCCATAGCTGTGCTAACAGTAGGATTCATGTTTTAACGCAGGTGGGTGGGCACAGGCAGGTGGACGTTGCAGAGGGCCCTTGTTGTGGAGTCATAATGCACTTCATGTGAAAGTATGAATTGTAATGAATAAGCTTTCCCTCACAATGGTGACAGATCGGTTTGTGTCTCCTCCTGCAATTGCCTTTTTCATGGAAATGTTGCCATTTTTGGTTCTTTTTAGCCTGCTCTCAACATTACTTATTTGTAGAACAGAACAGTCAAATTAATATCAACATTAGGCTCAGCTTACTGCTTCAGCGGACGTGTGCATATCCCCCAGCCTTCGTTTTGTAGGAGAAGACCGAAGGGAGTCTGTGTCTATTTCCATGCAGTTGAACTGTTGCAATTTGTGCTGCTGTAGTAGTTCCTCTTCTCACCTACGCAAGAGAAAGCGAAAAGAGTAGGAAGTTCTGTTCAGTCTTCTTTCTGTAAGTCTTCAGTACTTTTCCCTTATGTTGTTGCATTTTATTTTGAAGGCTAACGATAAAGGAGATTATTTCCCAGTATGGGGAACATGTCTTGGACACGAAGAGCTTACCTATCTCACGAGTGGTCAAGTTTTACTTGTTAACACAAAGACGAATGGTTTTGCACTCCCTCTGAACTTCACCTCAGGTCAGAAATCCACTGCATCTTGTGCCTGGGTTTTGCTGAGTGGTGGTGTGTGTGTTTGTGATCAACATGCAGGGATGAATGTTTGGGGGGTTTCTGGCGCTTAGCTTGTTAAATTCTTTCTTACTAAGTTGCCATGACTGCTTTTATAGCCAGTGTAACTCCATCGCTCCTAAAGCAGAGCTGTGAGCACGAGCTGTTTGAAACCAACAGCAGTCAGCCAAAAACACAGTGGGTGGTTTGAGTCATTTGGTAATTTGGACCCACCAAAATAATGTGGTAGCTTTAGGGCCTTTTTTGATACCGAGTTGAACAAAGTTCGTGCGTCCAAAAGCTATTGAACTCGGAGAGCAGATGTTTTTAAATTTTTCAAATTGCATCTTTCCTAATGATGAATATTAGCATTGCTGTCCTACTTGCGCGGTATTGAAATCGGGGAGATCCCCAAGATAGAGCTGTGCCGCCTAGCAGCATTGGTGAAACGTGGCCTCTGTTGATACCTCATCCGATTTCTGCGTGGCCCATCTGCGGACCATGTAGTGTTCACAGATTCTGTCACTTGTGCCCATTGTGAACGGAAAGGTCACTGAAATGAGTGGCAAAGAATGGTGCTTGTTTTAGTGACAACTTGGGCAGCAAAGTTGGGTCCTCTCTGGGCCAAGGCTGGAGCACAGTGGTAACAGCATGTTGAACCCTGTTGTAGGTATTTCACTGATTTTCCTTGCAGCATATTCTGAAATCATGAAGTTGTACTACAGAAAAAAAGTTTAATGCAGTGTTTTGTTAAATCTGTCTCCTGTTCAGCATTAGTCCATCTGTTAGCAGCCTGGGTAACGGACAATATCCTTTTTCCCTTTAATAGCTGCAAAAGACAGTAGATTATTCAAGAATTTCCCTGATGATGTATTACATGCATTTGCTACTGAGCCGTTGACATCAAACTTTCATATGTGGAGCCTCTCCATGGAGGTATTTGATCATTCTGTTTCCTGAACACAAACGCATTTGCTCTGTTAAAACTAGAAAATAAATGAGCAAATAACACATCTTTTTTTTTTTCCTCCTGCCTTATCACAGAATTTCACAAAAAATGAGAAGCTTCGTAATTTCTATAACGTCCTGACCACTAACACCGATGATGAAGTGGAGTTTGTATCGACCATGGAAGGTAGGGAAATGGATTTCCTTTGTGAACTGTGACAAACCAGTTTTAGAGGTGTTGTGGCACTGGTGTTAATTTGTACTGCGAGCTTTCTGTTGGAGCAGCAGGGTGAGCATCAGCCCTGCCAGCGCTCTGGCTGTGTGGAACATGGGCTGTTGCAGGGGTGTTTGATCTTTGAGTGACCAGGACGTTGCTGTCACCTCAGTGGAGGTGGAGCCTCGTCGCTGGCTTAGCTCAGCTGTCCCCTTCCAGAGGCGATGTTACACTTGAGCAGCGCAGGGTCGAGTGCTGCGCTGTGGGTGCGCGCCGCTCGTCCTGCAGTGGTCTATCCCTCCGCAGCGCAGCGTGCCTCCCTCACGCCTTCCCGGCTGTCAGCCCGCTTCCGCTGGCCCTGTGAGGCGCTGGAAGGACAGCCCGGGCTGCTGAGGGGACAGCAACGTCCCGGTCACTCGAGCAGCACTGCTGTTAACTGTCCACCTCCAAAAGCCTTCTGCATTACTTGCCTTGGCTTCCTCCGCTCAAGAAACAGGTCAGTTCCTTAGGGAGCGGTTTATCTCGATCAGTGCAGCCCTACAGTAAGGCCCAGCTCTCGGCCCGTGGGGTGGTCCTGTGTGGCAGGCTGGCTGTCCTGCAGGAGAGAGCAACAGCAGTTTGGTTGGAAAACCCGATCAGGGTAATGAGAGCTCTCCTGTGCCTGCAGGTGGCTTGTCACAGAGCAGTGGTCAGCCGCTGCTCTCCGTGAGAGTTACGGACTGGCTGCCCCCTGGGCATAGCAGCCTGGCGCAGAGCAGGTGGGGGCGGCCCCTGCATTGGCTGGGCCTTCAGGGAGGTCCTGGGACTTGGATCTGTCCTGTGGAACTGCCAGGCACATCCTGTGTGGCTGCCAATATTGTATGTTGGGTGATGCTGGCAGTAGGTAGCAAGTTTGGAGGCTGATACATCTGTAACATTATTTTTTAGTGTGTATATATAATAATTCTGAAATGAATAATCAAGAAAGTGATGTGCAAAAACCTTGCGTGGAACAAGTCCCTTCTTTGACAATATCCGTTTTTTTGCCTTGGTCCTAAAACTTAAGCAGGGTTTCAACTTGCTGTATAAGCTTTTGTGAAGCTGTTAAGTGAGGTGCTTTTGTAGCTTATCCTTTTTCATTTGCAGTAAGACTAAGCACATAACTCCAAAGGCCTGGACCTTGCTTACGTGCCCTGTGTTTGTTGCAGCATACAAATATCCAATTTATGGTGTCCAGTGGCATCCAGAGAAAAATCCTTTTGAGTGGAAGAATAAACCTGGCATTCCCCATTCCCCATCAGCTGTAAGAGCAGCATATTACATAGCTGACTTCTTTGTTAATGAAGGTAAAAAGTTTATTATCTATAAATGTCATTTTTTTAGAGCAAAGCATTAGCGAAAATCTTTGAAGACAAGAGACCTCTTTCTCAGCTGTCAAAGTTCAGTACCCCTTACTGCTTCCCGAGAAGATTACTCTGCAGGCTTTATAGGCTTACAGAAAACCAAGGGTGCCAGAAATAGAACGGCTTAGTTGAATGCTGACCTTCAGTTCCAGCAGAGCGAGCTTGTGTGGGCCGGCGGTGCGTGCCTGCCCCTACCTCCTGCACCAGACCGTGAGCTGTTCTGCCTTGCCTCTCTGCTCCGGGTGCAGCCACTCCTGCCGAGTGCTTCGTATCGTAACGTTGCGATGAGCAGTTGAAGTTTGTAGCTGCGTAAGGCAGAATGTCTTCCCTAGCTTTGAAAATAAACTGTGTAAAATGTTTTCAGCTGGCAAAAAGATACTCCTCTGTGATCACTTAAGAACTAAACTGTTTTACTGACCATTTCTGTGTCCATCCGTCCTTAATTTTAACTTGTGTAGAGCTGCCAGCGTGACAAACTGGGCAAGGACTCGTTTTTTGCTGTCCTCACCAGCACAGTCCTTGCTAACTGCAGCTTTCACTAGGCTGGTGCTCTGGCGTGTTTCTTTAGTGTTGCAGGTGTTGGCGTCTCTGGTAGATACTGTCAATATCTCGTGGATAAATACTCTTGTGCAGTCTTGGCTTTAAATTAATAACTAAATTTCTCCCTCCCCAGTAATAAAATGTGCTGTAACCAGCTTTCTGAAGATGTATCTTCACAGTTTTTCGCATACAAGTTGCTGTAATTCCCCTTGCTGTTATGTCTCACAAAATAACTTCCTTTGCTAAGAAAGGCACTGCCAAGGGGGGGAACAATGAAGTGATCTGTGCTTTTACCGTGTTTTACAGCCCGGAGGAGCCTGCACCGTTTCCCCAGTGAAGATGAGGAAAGCAAAGAATTGATTTATAATTATACTCCAGTTTATACGGGAGCATTTTCTTCATTTCAGCAGATCTATTTTTTTGATTGAGCATCGTGTCAAAGGTGCAGTGTTGCTATTTATAAATGGAATTATAAATTATAACAAAATTTATAAATTAAAGCATAATTAAGCTGATGTAGTGCACTGGACATGACAGAAAGCCAGAACAGTTCTCTTCCTTTACAATGATGTATCCTGTGTTTCTTCTGTGCTGTTGGACCATTAATATAAAAGTTTACATTGAATGACATCGTAATTACCTTGGATCACGCTTTAAGGCAAGCTACGGAAAAATGCACTTTCTCCCGGGAAGAGGTCTTGATTATGCTTCTAAACTTGGAAGTAATCGCACTTGGTACGAGGAAAAACACTATTGTAAATTATCTTTGTGAAACATGGTGGACTGTGGCTGCGCTGGAGGCTGAGATGTGTTGCTTGGTGAAATTCTGTCCTTTTCAGATGGCTCAGCAAGTGATACTCTTGGCCTGGTCGTAAATACGTGTGTGAGACCAAGTTCCTGACAGGGACTGCCTTGTCACTTGAAAAAAAATGACCGAGATAGTAAGGAGGCGCGCTAGCAGAGAGACGTTTCTGCCTAAAAAGCACACGTTGGATCCCGTGGGCAAGACCGTTTCTCTCGTCCAATCAGTGTTTGGAGCGGTCGCGCCTCGGGAGGCTGCGTCAGCGTGAGGATGCCGTCCGTGCTAGCCAGTGCGCGTATTGGGCAGGAGGAGTGAGTTTGGAGGCGTGGTTATGGGCTGATTCCACTTTCTCTTCTCAAGTTCAGCCTTTATATCTCCTCCAAGAACTTCTCTGAGAGTCACTGGAGTCAGCAGCCAGGTACGAGATGCAGGCGTCCGTGGCTTTGTGCTTCAAAGGATGTAAACCTAGTTTTTTCTTTGCGTAGCCTGACTTTTACCGCAGCTGCTGGACAGAGCTCTCACTTTGATCCAGAGGCAGTTTGCCTCAGCAAAGGCAGGTTTCTTTCCATCTTGTTGGAAGTTTAATGCAGCTGGAACTCAGCATCAGATGAATGTATGAGAGAAACCTGTTGGCGTGATGTCACCATAGTGGGGGCACTCACGACACTGTGATACCCTTTTTCAGTTTGCTTTGCTGCGCTTAGTGACAATTTTGTGTGGTGTCTGAGGAGCTGAGGGGAGACAGTTGGATATGACTGTCCTCTCTTGCACAGCTTCCAAACTGCCAACACCAGCAGGGATTTGGAGTTCATGAAGAGTTCAGGGTCATACCTCAGGTTGTACCTGTGATGTAGCACCTTGTGCTCTGATGTGCCATATCGGGGTAAAGCTGGTGCATTTCTCGGGTTTTTCAGGTCAAAGACCCTGTAACTTGCTCTTTATCATCAAACAACTGCCTAAGAGACTGTGAAACGCGTTAGTTACAAGGAAACGTAAACTGTGACTACCAGAAAGACGCTACCAGGTGATTACAAGCTCAGACCTGTGATAGATACTGCAGATTATTTCTGCGTGTGTTGTACCAGCCAAATCCACTAAATGGCACTTGTTTTTGATGTAGGTCACTTTATTGTATTAGCTGTGTCGGCTGACTCCTGAGTGTAAAAAGAGGATTACGCTCTACGGTTGCACATGAGTGCAGCAGGTAAGATCCTTACGAACCCAGACCAGTCTGCTGCTGCATGTTCAGGCTGGAATAGCTCTAAGGATTTGCCTAAGGAGGGTGGGATTTAGCCTTAACAACAGGGATCCATCTTGGAAGTGAAATGTCCACTAACTGCAGCGGTATGTGTACCTGTGCGGAATGTGGTCTGCAGCCCGTTGAGGGCAGCGTGTGCCCTAGGGATTGGTGTGTGTCTTTCCTGTACGTCCCTGTAAAGCCTTACTTGATGGTATCTGTGATTTTTCTATGATGTGTGAAATAAACTTCTGTTCAGGCAGATGTGTATTTTTGTGCTCTTTTAAATGCCGTGGATGAAGCTCTGGCAGTCCCTGTCCTTTTGTTTCCGTCGGTGACAGGCACAGTCACGAGGTTGCTGTGCCCTGTGTCTGCTGGGTGTGGTGGTGTCAGCCGGCCAGGGCCTGGGTAAGGGGTCTGTGGCCTGGCACGGCCGCACCTCCGGGTGAGCCACGGGCAGAGGCAGTCGGCCAGGCCGCCCGCAGCCCCTCCTCCGGCAGCCCCTTGCAGTGGGCCGGCCCTGGCGCAGCATGTCGGAGCTCGCTTGCTGATGGGCAGCCGCAGCCCACGCGGTGCGAAGGGGTCGCCAAGCCGGTGGGAGCTCTCGGGGCCTGAGAGCGGGAAGGAAAGCAGCTGCTCTCCGCAGCGTGCGGTGGAATGAGGACTCGGCTCCGTGCCTTACCACGTGTGACACCTCCCATCAAGTTCTCCTCCAGTCAGGAGCAGACAGTAGGAACTCCGAAGTAGCTAGTGCTCGCCCAGCAGAGGGTTTAAAAGTTTGTTTTAAAGACGTTTCAGTAGACTTCCTCTGCTCCAAGTGCCTTACAGTGTGGTTTTTCATTGCTCAGACAGAACTTCTAACGTAGTTGTTGGGATTAGTGCTGGAGAGAGAAGCAAAGGAGCCCGATCTGCACTCAGCTCCTGTGGGGTATGGCTAATGAGCCCTGGGCTTGTTCCCTGCCGGGAAAACCACCCGTGCTCAGCAAGGTAACCCTGTGTGTCTCGCAGGTCATGTTAAACCGCCTTTCAGAAGGGAAAGGCAATGGTTTTCTCTTCGTACTGCTCTGCTTGTACCACCAGGTGGCCCACGACAACCAGTGTTTCGTGCAGTTTTGTAGTCGGATGTGGTGGTGTCTGGAAAGTTTCAGGTGACACGTTGAGGGTATTTACTGTACTGTGGTACTTATGTATGCACCAGGGTATTTGGGATGTGAGGGAAGAGGGAGGAGACAGAGTAAGACTGGAGTCTTACTGGCATAACTGGCCAGATCGGCAAGATTGCAGGAGAGAAACAGAGCATGGGAGATAGAACTCATTCAGCTGGGATTAAGTCTTGTTTGTGGTGAATGTTCAAAGCATTTGAGCATTAGCTGGAGGTGACTGGAACAACATCCCTATTTTCAGGTGGCTGTTCCTCCCCTATAGCCACAGAATCTGTCTGGGTCCATTGTGTATAAATATGAAACCAGCTCCTGCAAAACGGGAGAGCTCGGGTGGGAAGAACCGAGACCCTGAGCTTAGAAGGCCTTCGCCTGGGAGATGGGAAACAGCAGTTTGAGTTCCTTCAGGCAGGGAAGGAGTTACAAGGAAGGAACATCCTGAGTAAGTGCTCCAAGTGCTGAGCTAGAGAGGAAGAGCCTGACCCACAAGCTGCTTTGTGGGGAAACCCCTGGATGACCCACGCCAGCGCTTCTGGGCTTGCCAGCTGTGCAGAATGCCCTAGTGAGGTGGTGAATCCGCAGCGGAGGCTAGTGTCGAGCAGGCTGTGGCCCCGTTCCCCCTTCAAGGCTGACGAGCTGCTTTTTGGGGTAACTTTCAGCCTTTCTCACTTTGTGTCGGTTCACTGCTCCAGGGGCTGCTGGGCAAAGTGCCACTGAAAGCGAGGGGGCGCTGCACTGCAGGGCAGATCTCTGCAGAGGTTGGTGGCCTATCTGGGACGTGGTGGCTCTTTTCTTGGGACAGGGAGGAAAGCGTGGGGACGGTTGGGATGGCCAGAAGAGCAGTCACGACTGGTTACTGCGTGTTACCTGCGTCGCCCTGCGCGGCTGGAGTCCCGAGGGACGGACGGGCTGTGTGTGAGCGGGTGGCCACAGGCTGTGTGCCAGTGCATGCTCAGGAGTGTTTGGGTTTGAGGTGGGAGGGTGTGCACAAGATTTCGCTGTCACAGTAATTTACTTAATTATTTTATTTTATCTGGGGTTGTTTTTTTTTTTTTTTTTTTCCTCTGTGGCGTTCACTTGTATGTGCCTGGTGGGGGTGGTACCAGCAAAGCTGTGGGGGCTGCCTAGCGTTCACATCCCGTTAAGGTTTCTGATTGCCCGTTGAAATTACTTTGGTTTGAGCACCTACAGATTGACACATACTGTGAGGTGGGTGGCGACCTTCCCTGTTAGCCTTGTGTCTTGCCCCAGGGCAGGCCTTTTTCCTGAGCCACTGCTTATTTGCAGGGCAAATAGTGAGGAATACCCTGCCTGGGGCCAGCTGCTGATAAGGAACTATTCCAGCTCCCACTGCTTCCTCATAGTGTTTGTTTCATGATGTAAGCAGTATGATTTAAGAGACAACTTTCCATGGGAGTTCATATGTAACAAAAAAATTCCAAGATGCTTTCATCCAAAGAGAGTCCAGCCCTTCCAAAACCAGCTGTTTGAACAAGGCATTTGCTTCCAACGTAAGCAAAAACTCCAAATTCTCTTCATTGTGCTTCTCAGAAACGTAGTGAACAAACATCCCTCGCCTCAAGCTTTCTGCAAATGAAAAGCAAGAAGCAAACAAACCAAAAGGCTGAAAGGAGCGAATTCCAGCAGTTGTTGCTTCTGATCGTTGAAGCAGTTGGGTAGAGTATGATCCGCCTGGAACAGGTACCTCCCTGGCTTCCTGTGACCATCTGCCCTGGGTGGTATTTCACCATGGTTTTGCCGTTACAGAAGAGCTGCTTTTGTACGTGTGCAGCTTTGTACTGTTTTCCTGAAGAGCAGATCAGCAAAACCAGAAGGCCTCAGCTAGCAGTTTTCTAGCTAGGAGCAGCGCTTCTCCTGCTCACCTTCTCCCTTTGCTGTCCATCTCCCCCTGCAGGCAGCCCAAGAAGGGAGGTGGTGACTGCGACAAACCTCCCCTGCGCCCGCTCTGGTGGGGTGCTCATGCTGCAGTGGCCTTGCTCACAAAGCCAGGGTGTCCTTCAAGTTCCTGGAGGGCCGGTTTGGTGTGGCGGGTGGCACGAAGCCCATCTCTCCTGGGATCAGTGGTTCCCAGGCTGGGGAGCGGGAACGTGTTTGCACAGTGCTGTTAGGCTTGGGTTGGCTGTGGGAAGAAAAACAACCCTATAAAGAAAGCCCCTCTCTTTAGAAGTGAGCTTGGTTGTCCTGCTCAGTGCTCGGCTCATGGGAGAG